AAACTTTTACTAACATATATAATGAAAAATTATAATATTAAAATTAACAATATATCACAAATCCGTGCGATACACATACCTTCTCCTAGTATATATATATATTATCTGATCTAGCTAAATGGTTTTAACTATGAAACAATATTCAAACGAATAAAAACTACAAAAATTTAACGCCAAATAAGTGAATACCATTACTATTATAATTTATATTTATAGTATGTTTATTGATTACACTTTTTATCTTTTTATATAAGCACCTATTTGTTTCATATATAAATAGTAATAAATGCTCATTTTTAATAGTTCTATAAGGAAACTTTCGATTATTTTTTATATAAATAACTACACATTTAAGGAAGAGAGTGACCATTCTATACCCATGAATTTTTTGTTCTTGTTCTATATTATAAAACCATAGCCAATAATTAAGTACGAAAACATAAAGAATCGATGAATTTCATAATATGAATCTTCACGCATTGGATGTTACAGTTTCTAACATATAGGACCTAATCTACCTTAATTACTGGCTATGGTTTTATAACATTGTCACTTACAAAAAGTCTGGTTCAAGGGTATTCTGTGTAATAACTCAAATTCGATTTATAGAAAAGACTAGAGTTAATGGTTTTTAAGAGAGAGATCTTATTAAGGATAAAGCCAGATCTCAAAAAGATATAGTGTGATTTTAGGTCGTCGGAATAAGATGCCGACCTAAGATATTAATAAGAAGAAATCTTAAGAGCTTAGAACAACAAGATAGCTGGTTTGCCCTAAGTCTCGAGAGATAATTTTCGGATGATTTGTGAAGTAGATGATTTCTATATTTATACCTGACAAGATCGGTCTTCTGGAGATAACTTTTCCAGTTAGAAATAGGAAAACTTTCTTCTTCATTAGGCCGACCTCCCATCTTTTCCGAAATTTGATCGGATAACTGGAAGATTTCCATTTATTTTGCCGACCTAAATATTCTTTAGGGTTTCGAAGTGGACCTATCTCAATTGATGTCGGGATTTTAAAGAGGGTATAAACCCATCTTTAACAGTAAGCTCGGTTTGTTATTGTTATTGTTATGAAACCCATCTAACAATAACAATCATTTTTTCACATTACAAATGATTGTTATTGTTATAAAAACCCATCTATATGTGAAAAGTTTAGAATCGTCTTGTTAATGTTGTGAAACCGAGCTGAAAAGCATGCCAGTGGAGATGGTAGCTAAGTTAGTACCTGAGCATGCGAGGAAGCAGTGTTCTTGGCTCAGTTTGTAATTTACTCAAAAGCTTTAAATACAGCACGAACACATCACCACTTTTATAAATTGCATCTCTCTATCTTTCACGGTATCCAAAAATCTTATATGTACTATTTGTTTGTTGTATGAGTAGAAAAAAAAAGGAGTTATTATTGTGGTTGGTTTAAAATGTAATAGTCATCAAAGTATTTTTAATCAAGAGATTTGTATTTGTGTTTTTGAATTTTTTTCCTTAATCTTTAGTAGTAATCTCTGTTAAATCATTAAAGCATTGCTCACTGTATCAAATTCGTTAAAAATCTAAACTGAGCTAAACTGAAAAATAAATCTATGAGAATGATTAAAAAAAGGTAAGTGTGGCCTTTTTTAACCAAACAAAGTTTTGGATTGGGCTCATGTGAAGCTTTGATAGGGCTCAGGTTTTACCCAAATAAAACTACTGTAAGTGCACAACAAAGCAGTTGTAGTACAAGGGGTATCGAAATCCCAAGAGAGTAATGCAGACTACACTATCGAATGTAGGCTCGGATTAAGCTAAGCAAGATATGATGTATGTAATGCGAATAAATGAATAGAAGTAAGCAAACGATTTTGTAAGATGATCTAAGTTTCAGAGGACTAAAAGCGCTAAGTCAGGACAGTTCGCAAGTTGAATCCGAGAATGTAGAATGCATGAAATCAGAAATAATTAAGAACCGTCTTGAACATGAATCGCAAAGGTATAACTAATCAATTCTCATTGCAGAAGTTAACTATGTCTAAATCACAGAGTTTCAAATCTCTTTGCAAACCCTAACAACATAAACATGCAGTAATGATCAGGTTCAATTGTTCACAAAACTCCCTAAGCTAAATCTCTTTGCAAATAGGTGTTTTTGCTCATCTAATACTAGTTCAGGTGATTAATAATGCTTTCACATCTATCAAAAACCTAGGGTTTCGAAATCCAGATGATGTGTCTAAGAAATCGATATGAATGCAAGCACATATGAAGAACCAATGAATTTCCTATAAGTTTTTAGCTACAAACTCTTCTTCAACCTTTGAAAAGCCCTAACTTAACTAACAAACTACTCAGACATGGTGATTTGTGAAAACATCATGAAAAGAATAGATTGCATAAAAGAAATAAGAAATAGAAAGTAAATGAGTTCAAAATCTGCTCTGAAGGAGTCTGGATTTGTCTCTCCAAAAGCTCTTCTACAAATCTCTCTCTCAAGCTCTCTAAATATATAAGATACAAGATATCTGCCAAAAGAATGGCTGAAAAACCTAATATACAAGCTAAAACACGATATGGGGCCTTTTTGCAAATATTGGAACTTCTGGGCCAAAACTGCAAATAATTCTCTATCTTTTAGAAAACAGCCACGACCTCTTCCTTTCTGGGTGACGAGCGTCACCAAAAGTGGTGACGAGCGTCACCCATATGCATAATTTTCTTCCCGAGTTGGATACTTCGTGACTTCAACTTGCAATGCTCCAAAAGGCTCCAATATCTCCAATTATGCTCCAGACATGCTATAACCTGCAAAGACTTTTCTAGGACTCTAAAAAGACCAAAAAGACTCAATAAAAAGGACTTATATCATGGTTAAAAACTATAAAAACCATGATATATCAGGCCTCTTGTGTAGTCGTCGTCGGTGGATATTTTGAGGTGTTAAGTCTACATTGTTTTTAGGATTTGGTTTCTCTCCAGACCCAATGTAGAATTTTTATTGGAAGAGTTATAAATCCTAAAACACAAAAAAAATGAATTAATTATTATTATCAATTTTTTTATTTTTTTAAAGTATCAACTGGTTATTTAAACGTATTTGTAAGGCAAACATACAAATGTGACTTTCAAGTGGAAGTTGAAACAATTTATAATGCCTTAGTTGAGCTTTTTCTGTTTGGATTTTTAGTTTTGCTAGGTTGGTTTCGACAAAGACTACTAGAAAAATAACGTAAGAAATCATTAAAACACTTGAAATTAATAATGCAGTGAATAACTCTAATGAAGAAGATACTTACCCAATTAACAGAGTTTTAAGAGACTAAAAGATGCATAGTCATCACAAGAGATGACGAGATACTTAATCTCACTAGATCTCTTCCTCCAGTTGTGTTACTTGACAAATTCATGTCACTCATAGTTTCAGAATCTCCATTTGACTCTTTAACTTTAGAAGTTAGAAAATAATCATTGTTTCGTATAATAATGATGCATAAATGGTTTGATTAAGAAAGATGTATTTTTTTTGTTCAAAATAAAAAGATATCAAGATACTAAAAAAGAAAAGTTTTAGCATTTTATAGTTGCACTACAAAAAAACAAGTGTACTGTATCATTTATTTTAAATACTTGTATTAGTTATAATTGACTCAAACAAGTTTTACATCACTTGTAAAACTGACTTTGAATGTGGTGATGCGAATAATTAACATCAGTTAGCTATCAATTGATGCAAATATATTTTATTTTTGCATCGATTGTTGAAATCGATGTCAATATGTATCAATTACACAAAACTGATGTTATCATTTGCATCAATTTTTTATTAATGATATTAGTATTTGTGAAAATTATAATAAATAATGTTAAAATTAGTTTAGTTTAATATTATGTTTATATTTAGATGTTAAAAATAATTTAAATTTATTATTAGTTTCATAAATATTTATAATAATATTATTATTTTAATCTAAAAATTTATGCATCAATAATTTTTGTAAGACCAAAAAATTCGAAATTAATTGTATTGGCTACTAAATATAAATATTAGGTATTTAAGTTTTGATATATATAGACTTGTTTTCTCTCTTATTTTTTATCAACTAGCGATGTGGGACAAAATACTAAAAGTAAGTTACATCAGTTGTAACTGATATAAAATTTATATCATTTTTTAAATGATGTTAACCAAAGTTATTGATTATATTGATTATTTAAATGATTTGAATACATAATTTATATTAACTTTATTTAAGTGATGTAAATTAATATAAATTTGTATCAATTTTATTGAACTGTAGTTAAATAATAAATAAAAGCATCAATTCATGATAAATGGTATTAAATCATATATTTTGTGTCATTTATTAATAAGTAATTTAAAATTTGTACCATTTAGTTTTGTGATAATTTAAGTGATGTAATGAATCCTTTTTTTTTGTAGTGTTGGCGTCTTTATGTTCTTTCAGATTTAACCTTTTAAATTTATACAATAATTATCGACAATCTTTGATGATATAAGTTTAATATGTGTAAGATCAATATTTTATATTATACGATTGAAATAACATATCAGCTCACAAAAGAGATAAAATAAAGATAAACCCTAAACTGATAACATTTAAATATAAGGACTATAAAAAATATGCCAAACATTTATGAACATGTCTTGAGTGAACAATGGTTATTTCTATTTGTTATAAAACAGAGTAACATAAAGTTTCCTTATTAATGAAAAGATTTTCATAAAATAAATAAATTTTTGTATTAAAGAGTAGGTTTATTGTGAAATTTTACGTTTAAAGTATTTTCCGTTCAAAATGAATATAAATGAGAGTTAATTTCAATCTTGACATTTTACATTCATAACTTAGATAGGGTTTTACATCATCCAAGTGTCTATTAGTGTTTTTAATTCGATCTCAACTCACCATCACTAAAACATGGCTTAATTGTGGCTATTGGTGATGGTTTTAATACTAATGTGTGGGCAGCAAACTGGATACTCGATATCCTACCTAGGCCTCCAATGTACAGACAAGATAGCGCCGTTTGATTTAACTTTAATGGTATCGGATCTGTTGGATGCCCACACTAAGCAATCAAATGAGCCCTTACTGCACCAAGTTTTAGCCCCTGAAGATGTTTTAAGGATACTGTAAATAAAACCGTCAGATAATCGGCCAGATAAGCTCGTATGGTGTTTCACCTGGGATGGCCAATATTCCTCGTAGAGCGGTTATAGGTTCTTGGACTCGCAGTGGGCTCTTCAAAAACCATCAAGACAACACGATGGCTCCAATAGAGATAAAGCTCTGGACTAATCTTTGGAAAATTCAGGCCCCTCTAAAACTCAAGCTTTTTCTATGGAAATCCTTATCTGGAGCTCTTGTGGTTAAAGAGAGACTGCAATCAAGGAATATATTGATTGATGGAACATGTAGTACCTGTGGTGATGGATGGAAACAATCTGCCATATGCTCTTTGTATGCAAGAATGCAAAAGCAGCGTGGAAGTTGTCTGGCTTTCTCTACCACCATCAGGCTTTTCACCTAATTCGGTTTTCTTAAATCTTCATCATTTGCTAATCAACAATAAGAAACAGGGAGTTCCAGCAGGGATATGATATGCATTTCCATGGATTTTATGGCACCTCTGGAAAAGCCGCAATAACCTGGTCTTTGAGAATATTTGAATTCAACCGAATGAGATCATAGAGAAAGCCTTAGATGATACGGTGGACTGGCTGCGACTCAACTGCTTAGACAGAACAGAAAATCTAGAAGTCCCCTTACATCAACCATCTTTGGTTACTTGGGAAAACCCCTACCAAATGCTGAAATGCAACATTGGAGCTTCATGGGTGTTGCCAAATAGGTAATGCGGTGTTGTGGCTGGTAAGAAACTTCAGAGGGGAGACTTGCTATCACAATAGACGAGCCTACCCTGCAAGAACTGATATATCATGGTTTTTATGGTTTTTTTACCCATGGTATAAGTCCTTTTTATTGAGTCTTTTTGGTCTTTTTAGAGTCCTAGTAGAGTCTTTGCAGGTTATAGGTGTCTGGAGCATAATTGGAGGTTTTGGAGCTTTTTGGAGCATTGGAAGAATCAACCAAGAAGTTAGCAACTCGGAGGCATCAATTGTCTTTGGTGACGATCGTCACCACTCAAGGGTGACGCTCGTCACCCGTATCTGAAGAAGAGTTGTGATTTGTTTTAAAAGATGGAGAGGAAATTGCAACTTTGCCCCAGAAGTTTCACTAATTACAAAAGTGTTCCAGCTCGTGTTTTTGCTTATATATATTTCAGCCATTGTTGGCATTTATCTTAGATTTTAGAATTCAGAGAGCTTTAGAGAGAGATTTATTCAGAGCTTTTTGGGGAGACAGATCGTGTACTCTTTTAGAGAAGATTTTGAACCTCTTTAACTTTTACTCTATTCTTTAATGCAGTTTTATTCAGTTATGTCTTGTGTATTTATGATCATGTCCGAGTAATATATTAGTTAAGTTAGGGCTTTTCAAAGGTTGATGAAGAGTTTGTAGAATCGCTAAACTATTAGGAAAATCTATTGGTTCTTCATATGTGCTTGCATTCAAACCGATTTCTCTGACTAGTCATCTGGAAATTCGAAATACCCTAGGTTGTTTAATAGATGCGAGAACATTGTTAATCACCTGAACTAGTATTAGATGAGCAAAATGCCTATTTGCAAAGAGATTTGACTTGGGAGTTTTGTGAACAATTGAAACCTGATCTTTAATGCTTGCTTAACTTGTTAGAATTTGCAAAGAGATTTAGAATCTGTGAATTAGGCATAGATAACTTTATGCAATGAAAATGATTAGTTATATCATTAAGTTTTGAGTTCAAGACTGTTTAAATCATTCCTGCTTGCATGCATTCTACATTCTCGGATTCAACCTGCGAATTATCCTGACTTAACACTTTTAGTTTCCTGAATCTTAGATCAATCAATAAATTGTTTGCTTCCATTAATTTTGATATTTCGCATTACATACACTACTGATTCCGTAGCTGAATCCGAACTTCAATTTTATAGTGTAGTTTACTTACTCCCTTGGGATTCGATAGCCCCTTATACTATAACTGCTTTGTTGTGCACTTGCAGTAGTTTTGTTTGGATAAAACCTGAGCCCTATCAAGAACCAACTCTCTTGAAGCTGACATCCTGAGTTTATTATGGGAGTCAACAGCCACAATGAAATTGAAGAACATTATCTTCGAGTCTTCATCCCTGCAGCTAAGAGAGATTATGCTCTATCTGCACCTCTTTCCTCTATATCAACATTTGCTTCTACAAATACTCAACCATCTTAGGGCTGTGGATTGTTGGAGCTTGAATTATGCCACTGTTGAAAGTAATCGGGCTGCCTTAGAGATTGCAGTGAGCGTCACCAGGGACCACATGTATCAATCGTATATTAGTCACCAAAGCCCACAATGGCTTCTCCTTCTGCTCACATTGGAGGCCAATAGAAATAACTAAGTTTTCTGGGCCGTCACTACCACCACATACAGTTTACCCGATTCTCTTTGTATGCTGGTTCGTTTGTCTACTTTTGCTCTGTTTTCCTTTCCAAATTCAGGGGCTATATGCCTTGTAAGATGCCCCTATTGGTATCACACTATGTTTCTTCTTCCATCTCAATGAATTACCCAGCGTTAAAAAAAGAAGATAGAATTAGATTTAATATGGACCGTTGGATGTGATGAAGAGGGGTCCCCGGTCATGACATGAATATATTGGTCGACGAATCCAAACATAAACGGTTTTTTAGCTTTACTGTTGCAAGTTGGCATGTGCCGCTACACACCATCACTAAAAAATGTTTTTTTTTTCCTTTTTTTTGGGTTCATGTCTTTTTCAATTTGATTAGGCTTACTAATTTAATTTGAAGAAAAATTTTATTTTTTTCCGCACAATTTCTCTTTTTAAATATTTAATTTATTAGAGGATAAAAAGGTCAATTTTCATATTTACCATGAAAACAAGTTTTTAGGATAAATATAACAGGTAAACTAAAATTTTTCTACCTTCTAACATTTTCATTTGATCTTTCCAATTTTGTTCTTTACAAAAGTTTCCTAAATGTTTTTTGTCAATATTTCGTGATTTTTTAAAAAGGTCTTCCAAATACTAAGTTAAAATTTAAAATCGTTTCATATGATTTAGGAAAGTTTTCCTAATTTTTGAAAAAATTCTGAATTGTGGACGAGCATCCTTAATTGTGAAAGAGTTTCCTAAATTTTGGAAGAGCTTCTTCAGTTTGAATTATTGTATAAATTAACAAATAATAAATCAATTATACGATTTATGAAGGTTTTTTAAATAGATATAATGACTTATTTAATTTATAAATTTTCCTCAAAGTTTAGAATATATTCCTAAAATTTACTCTCATCTCCTTTCTCACCTCTGCGACACTCAAACTCTAATTTTTTAGAGTGTTAGTGTATATTAGGAGAAAAAACTTTGATTATGTGCATATGAGAGCTTTTTTTTCTAAAAAAAAATTGGATATCAGAATTTTTTTACCATTTCAGTTTTGCTAAACTGTGTATTTCTACTCAATATATTGATTTTTAATATTTTACTAGGTAATAACCCGTACCCTATGCGGGGTAAAATAATTATTATTTATTTAGATTTAATATAATTTTAAAATTATATAATATAATATAGTTAAATTTATATAAATTTTATATAATATTATACTATAACATTGACAATATAATTTTTTTATTTTTTTATGAAATATAGGATAATTTAATTGTAATGTAAATTAATTTTAAAATTAATTAGCATGCATAACACATGATATAACTGGGTAAAAATACGAAGTTACCATACATATTTTATATATCCTGTAATTGATGATATGATTCATTATTTTCACCAATGTCCAAAGTTTGAGTATATAATATTTATGTACATATTTGAATTACTTTTGACTCTTAAATAATTTAATATTAGTATTTAAAATAGTTTGTTACTTATCTATTAAATATTACTAGTTAAATAATTTAATAAATTTTTCTTGTCCCAAATTGTACTTGTTCAAAAATATGATACAAATCGATAAGATAATCTATTTTTAGAAAAAATCTATTATAAATATATGGTTCCATTAATATCATAAGTTAATAATTACCATAAAATAATTTTATATAAACATATATCTTTGGTAATTTACTAAAATATAAATTATATAATGGTTTGTTTTTTTCTTAAAATTAAAATATGTTATGGTTTATCTACAATTTAAAAGTGAAATATTTAAAGATATCAATAACTTTTAAAACAAATATATATTTTTAAATAATTATTAAAAATAATTTATTTAATTCCAAACTGATAAATTAATAATTTTATAAATTAATAAAATATTGAATGTCATAATATTATCGATTTATTAAAATTTTACAGTAATTAAATTGATTGATTTAAGCCCGAAGCTAAGAAAAAAAAACATGCACAAATCCTTGCTGAAAATTTGATACTGTATATGATAAATCAAACATTGATTAAAAAAATAAACAATTAATATTGGTATTATCTTATCAAAAAGTAAAGCAATAATGCTATATACCATATTTTGTCATCTAAGAGTCATATATAAATTAAACAATAATGCAATATATCATATTTTCTTATATAGTAATTCTGAATATTAATAATATATATCATAATAATTTTGGAAATTTGTCATTATGACTTTATTTTTAATAATATAATTTTTGTATATATTATTATGAATTGTCAAAATGATATAAACTTAAAATATGTAGCTTGAAATATTATATATGTTTTCACACATTCATGGCATGCTATAATTACAACAATATATGAATAAAAACCATTATGACTTTCTTTATTTATCGTGATTGATTTTGAGAAAACAAAAAAATATTATTTTTAATTGTTCTGTTGTATTTATAAGAATATTTTTAATAAAAAATAATAAATATTTTCAAGTGGAAGTTGAACCAATTTATAGTGCCTTAGTTGAAGTTTCTTTTGTGGCATTTAATTCTCTAGGTTGGTTTCGACACAGACTATTAAAAAAATAATGTAAAATTAATAAAGTAAGAATTATTAAAACACTTGAAATTAATAATGCAGTGAAGAACTCTAATGAAGAAGGTACTTACACCAATTCACAGAGTCTTAAAGACTAAAAGATGCATAGTCGTCACAAGAGATGACGAGATGCATAATCTCACTAGATCTCTTCCTTCAATTGTGTCACTTGACGAATTCATGTCACATCATAAGTTTCAGAATCTTCATTTGACTCCTTTCAATTCAGATGTTGAAAAATGATCATTGTTTTTCGTATAACTAATGGACGGAGAGACGGTTTTGATTTAAGAAAGAGGTATTTTTTTTGTTCAAAAGAAAGAGATATATCAAGATACTTGAAAAAGGAGAAGTTTTAGAGCGTTTTCTAGTTGGCATCTTTATTTTCTTTCAGATTCAACATTTTAAATTTATACTATAATTGATCCGACAATCTCCGATGATATAAGTTTAGAGATTTGAAGATCAATAATTTTATATATATAATTGAAATACTCTCAAAACTTTAAAGTTTGAAAACACTATTCTAAATAAATTGTCATATGCCTACATTGTTCACAAAGGTCTCTTAATCAAAAAGTGGTAGATTCATTAGATACTTTGAAACATATTTTGGAGAACAAACAAACTAGATGGGTGAGGACACATCAGTTTTTTGTGAAAGAGAATTAAACTCAATAAATACTGACTTTGTGAAAATAGGTCTAACATAAAAAAAATTATTTAATAAAATAATTTTTATAAAATAAATAAAATTTTGTATTAAAGAAGTAGTTTATTGTGAAATTTTACGTTTAAATTATTTTGTCGTTCAAACTGAATATATGGTGAGAATCATTTCCAATCTTGACGTTTTGATATTCACAACTTAGATATGGTTTTACATCATCAAAATGTGCTATTAATGTTGTTAATTCGATCTCAAATTCACCATTATAATCATCTACTGTCCCTTAAACACAACAAAACATCTAATACAAATATTTTCTAAGAAAACTCATATTTACACAAAACATTTAAATGATGTGGCCTAAGGTTAACGTTAAGAATAGTTTTACTATTAAGCTTCAAAACATTAAAAGTCCAAAAACACTATTCTAAATAACTATTCCTATTGCATTACCTCACATATTCACAAAAGCTCTAATCAAGAACTGGTAGATATCATCAAGATACTTTGAGATATGTTTTGGGAGAAAAACAACTCAGATGGATGAGCGATCAATTTGTTAGGTTAGAAAATATGAAACTATGATGAAAATTAAGTAGGGTGCGATTTGATGTGAAATCTTTTGTATCAATATATGAGGGATGCTAGTTTAAGAGACAGTAACGATTAATACCTGAATTATTGCTCATTGGTGTTGAAGGAGATTCCGTTAGGTGCAGTTTTGCGCTTTGTGGTCACCAATACTCATAACTTAGAAAAACCAACTTCATAATAATAAAAATTAAAGATCAGATTTAATGAATTTTTTTTGAGTTGGTGAGCACATAAACTTCTTTGTCACTATAAATAATAAATGTGTTAATTAATTTTAACATCAGAGAATATTTAAATAAGTTTTACATTAATTACTAAAATTGAAGAAATCCACGTCTTCAACGTATGTATTGTCTTATATCCAACCTCTCGTAAAAATTAGGTAATAAACAGTTACTATAATACAAAATGCAACTAAAACGGAAATTTCATATATAGATTTGTATATTTCTTAAAATATATATAAAATATTGTATTTTAATATATTTTCATTTGATCAAAATATAGCATTAAATTAATATAAATATAATTAAGAAATAATCTATAGCGTGAATATATACTTAATATTATTAATATAGATAATGGTGAGTGACGTCCCCTCTATCGATAGAGGATGCTCTTACAATTGAATTCCGGAATAGAATCCTACATTTAGCTTCTTATTATTCATATTGTTCAATATATTTTCTTTCTACATTTAAGATATACATAATAGAACTACCATACATAGTAATCAAATATTTCAGATGCACATATCTTTATTAAAAATTCAGAAAAAATTAAAAGCCTATGCAGAAAATTATGCGTAGTTGTAACCTTGGCCCGATGAACACAGTTAACTAACATCTATTAAAACTATTGATCATGTGTCGATTCTTGATAAAAGAATACACCGGTTCATTTGGTTTTTCAACTTTGAGCAACAATGGCAGCAACATTCATCGTTGACTTTCAAAACTGCTTCATCTTTATCCTGCTTTGCCTCTTTTCGTTTCTCTGTTACTAATTCTTCTTCAAGAAGCCAAATGACTCCGAAGGCTGTGATCTGCCTCCTAGCCCTCCGTCTCTACCGATCATTGGTCATCTTCAGCTCATCCTCTCTCTTCTAATCCACAAATCTTTACAGCAAATCTCCTCCAAGTATGGACCTCTCCTCCATCTTCGTGTCTTTCATGTCCCCATACCCCCCGTCTCCTCTCTTTCAATATAGCCTATGAGATCTTTAAGATGCAAGACGTGAATGTTTCCGCAAGACGTGAATGTTTCCACTCCCAACCTCCCTAGGAACGAAGGGACTCTCTTCTTTGGATCTTTCGGCTTCATTATAGCACCATACTGGAAGTTCATGAAGAAGCTCATCACCACCAATTTTCTTGGACCTCAAGAACTCGAGAGGTCATGAGACATCCGTGAGCTAAATCAGTTTTACTTGAACCTTCTAGATAAGGCAATGGAGAATGAGAGCGTTGATATTGCTGAGGAAGCTATGAAACTAATTAACAACGACATATGGAAGATGTGGCAAGGAGTTGTTCAAAGGAAAACGATGAAGCAGAGAAAGTGAGGGAGCTAGTGGCTAAATCAAAGACCTTGTCGAAGAATTTTTTCTTGGCGGCCATCTTGCGCAAGCCGCTTGCAAAGCTTGGGGTCTCACTTTTCAAAAAGGAGCTATTGGATATTTCTCACAGGTTCAATGAAGTGTTGGAGAAGTTTCTTGTTGAATATGAAGAGAAACTGGACAAGAATCATCAAGATACTGAGATGTTGGACGAATTGTTGGGAACTTGTCAAGATGATAAGATCACTAGGAATCATAGCAAATCCTTGTTAGTGGTAAAAGTTTCCTCTATTTAGTTGATTTCGTTTGAACAAGAACCACTCAAGTACCATTGGTTGTTTTTGACTAAGAAACTTTTGCTTCTACAGGATCTTTTTGTTGCGGGTAATGACACCTCAACACACACTATACAGTGAACCATGGCAGAGATCTTCAACAACTGAGAGAAGAAATTGTCAGTTGCAAGGAAAACAAGGTTGATTCAAGAAACGGATCTATCGAGCCTTCCTTATTTGCAAGCTGTCGTCAAGGAAGTGCTGAGATTGCATCCACAGGCACCTATCTTGGTAAGAACCTTTGCAGAAGGGGTGTAAGATCGGAGGCTTTGATGTCTTGAAGAATACAACACTTATTGTTAATTATTATGCTATAATGAGTGATCCAAGTTTATGGGAAAACGTTGAGGAGTTTAAACCTGAGAGGTTTTTGGCTTCTTCAAGATCATGTAAAGATGATGAGAAAAGATTGGAAGTTCTTAAATTCATTCCGTTCGGCAGGGGAAGGAGAGGATGTCCTGGATCAAATCTAGCTTATCTATCAGTGGGAACCGCGATTGGACATTGGAGTGATGGTGCAATGTTTTGATTAGAAAATCAAAGGAGATAAGGTTAACATGGAAGAGGCTCGTGGAGCAATAACGTTGAGCATGGCTCATCCCCTTAAGTGTACTCCTATTCATCGAACTCTAAGCCATTTACCATCCATTATACAGATTCCAAGTCTGTGAGTTTGAGATCTCAGTCAGTTTTTTAAGCAAGAGTAATGGAAATGTGTTTACATGTCATACTTTGTTTATGTTTGTTACAACATAGTGCAGTTAATACTAAGATAAAAAAAAAGTAAACATTGTCCATGGTTTCGTACCAAAAAACCTTTTTCAATGCTATAGAACATCTTGTTATCAATCTTTTTTTGTTGTTGCCAGATTAAAGAATGTTAAACCATTTTTTTTGAGCATTGATTGATTATATAGATACAAAATATATAATTGTCATAATAAAAAATATAATTTATTAATAAATAAATATAAATAAAGATAAAAAAATTTATACATGTAGATGAAAGAGATACTGATAAAAGAGACGAGACAGAAAGAGAGATTTTACTACTCATTGAGAGAAGATCGTATTTTACATTGAACATTTTTGTTCGTTTATATAGAAAACAAAAGAGAGATTTACAGTGTATGCATAGTGACGTGGGTCCCACAATAATTTATCATGTTTTGTATGTGTAGCCTCATTCGATGACTTTCAGTGTTTGTGCTTATTTGACTTTTTATAACACTCCCTTTTTTTAGAACAGTATCACTACAGCCTTTGCTTGACATCTTTGCTGCCTCGTGAAAAGCCTTTCTAAGAATACCCAGTGGAAAAAACCATAATCACGTAAAAAGAGTACAACCACCCAAGCTCCCCATTGAATACCATGGTGTTATCTTATATATAGGTCAAGTTGTTGACACATTCCAATATTATACACATGCTGTCTGAACATAGTGGTGGGCAATGGTTTTGTGAAGAGATCAGCCACACTGTCAGATAATCGGACATGTCTTACTTCAATTTTATTATTTTTCTCGAGCTCTTGAGTGTATGAAAAGAATTTTAGAGGGATATGTTTGTAACTATCATTTTTGATGTATCTTTCCTGTTTTTGAGCAACACATGCAACATTGTCTTCATACAAGATAGTTGGCTCTGTATTTATGTGAATTACACTGCTTGATTGGATGTGTTATCTTATTAATCTTAATCATACACATTCTCTACTTGCTTCATGAAGTGCAATGATCTCAGCATGGTTCAAAGAAGTGGCCACAAACGTTTGTTTCTGAGAACGCCAAGATATAGAAGTGACTCCTATTGTGAAAATGTATCCTGTTTGAGATCTGGATTTGTGTGGATCTGATCAATATCTCGCATCTGCAAAATCAACCATTTGTCGATCTGAAATTTTAAGATAAAACAAACCTAATTTATGAGTCCCTTTCAGGTAACAGAAAACATGTTTAATCCCATTCCAATGTCTCCATGTAGAGGATCAACTGAATCGTGCCAGAAGATTAATAGGAAAAGGCATGTCAGATCGCGTATAATTTGCAAGGTACATAAAAGTTCTAATTGGACTTAGATACGATATTTCAAGATCAAATATCTCTTTATTTTCCTCATATGGTCGGAATGAATCATTTTCAATTTTAAGTGATTTAACGACCATAGGGGGTACTTAGAAGAGTTGTCTTATTCATGTTAAACCGTTTTAACACACTTTTTGTATATGTGGATGGATATACGAAGATACCATTTTGAGAATGCTCAATTTGTGTACCTATACAGTACTTTGTATGTCCGAGATCTTTCATCTCAAATTCCCCTTTCAGATAATTTGATGCCTTTTGTATTTCCCCTTGAGTTCAAATAATGTTTAGATCATCAACATATACCATAATTATTACAAATCCGGATATTGTTTTCTTGATGAAAACAAATGGGCATATTGGATTATTCACATATCCTTATTTCGTTAGATGTTCACTAAGACGATTGTACCACATACATCCAAATTGCTTTAATCCATATATTGATCTTTGAAATTTTATTGCACTTAACTCTTCGGGTTTGGAACTTAATGCTGCTGGCATCTTAAATTCATCAGGAATTCTCATATAGATATAAGTATTTAATGTTCCATATAAATATAATGTAACGACATCCATAAGACGCATCTCTAGATTTTCATTAGGTGTTAGACTCATCAGGAGTCTAAATGTGATTGCATCCATAATGGGAGAATATGTTTTCTTCATATCTCATAATCTCATTTTTCTCATTCCGTTTCGAACGAAAACCCATTTGTTTCCAACCAGTCTCACATCTACAAGGGTGAGCACAATAGGTCCAAATACATTTAGTTTATTAAGTGAATCAACTTCTACTTATATAGCATCCTTCCATTCTATCCAGTCATGCCTCTTTTGACACACAGACTTGGCTTCTAGATCTTCATTTACCTTATTTATGTCCTTTGACACATGGTATGGGAAAATATCATTAACATCATCCATTTCATTTTGATTCCATATATTGGCATTATGATGCTCTGTGTTATCATTTGTTTCATGAATTTCTTCCTCAAAAATATTTTCCGCTATTTTGGGTGTGCTCTGCATTTCAGCTTCCTTTTGCTTTTTAGAAATTTTATTCTTAGAACTGACAGGTCTACCACGCTTCAAGCATGTTCTGGACTCACATGTATTATCTTCTTTTTCACGTTCTAGTGGTATTTCAATACGGCCAAGAGCATTTACAGTTGGTATATGGGATTTAGTTACCATTTTGGTATCTTCAAATGCATCTGGTAGCTGTTTGGCTATACTCTGAAAATGCATAATTCGTCAAACTTCTAGTTCAAACTATTTAGTTGGAGGTGTAATAATTTTGGTACATTCCATTTTATATCCTTTCCCATTTCATTAATTTCTCCCAATAGAATCGGGAATAGCTTTTCATCAAAATGACAATCGGTAAACCGTGCTGTAAATACGTCACCTTTCTGTGGTTCTAGGTATCGTATAATTGAAGGAGAGCCACTGATATATCATAGTTTTTATGGTTTTTAACCATGGTATAAGTCCTTTTTATTGAGTGTTTTTGGTCTTTTTAGAGTCCTAGTAGAGTCTTTGCAGGTTATAGCATGACTAGAGCACAAATAGAGCTTTAGGAGCTTTTTTGGATCATTGCAGGAATCAACCCCGAAGTTAGCAACTCAGAAGGCGTTACATGGCATTGGTGACGATCGGCACCACTCAAGGGTGACGCTTGTCACCCGCATCTGAAGAGAATCACGACGTTTATTTAAAAGATAGAGAAAATATTGCAGTTTGGCCCAGAAGTTCCACTATTTACAAAAATATCCCAGCTCGTGTTTTAGCTGGTATATATTAGGTTTTCAGCCATTGTTAGTTTTTATCTTAGGTCTTAGAATTCATATAGCTTTAGAGAGAGATTTCTTCAGAGCTTTTGGAGAGACAGATCCTGTACTCTTTTAGAGAAGATTCCGAACCCCTTTATCTCGAACTATATTCTTTTAATGCAGTTTTATTCAGTTATGTTTTGTGTTTTCATAATCATGTCTGAGTAATCTGTTAGTTAAGTTAGGATCATTCAAAGGTTGATGAAGAGTTTGCAGAATTGCAAAACTGTTAGGAAAATCTCTTGGTTCTTCATATGTGCTTACATTCATATCGATTTCTTAGACTAATCATCTGGATTTTGAAACCCTATGTTGTTTAATAGATGTGAGAACATTTTTAATCACCTGAACTAGTATTGGATGAGCAAAACGTCTATTTGCAAAGAGATTTGACTTAGGAGTTTTGTGAACAATTGAACTGCATGTTTTGATTGTTAGAATTTGCAAAGAGATTTGGAATTCTGTGATTTAGGCATAGATAACTTTTGCAATGAGAATTGATTAGTTATATCATTGTGTTTCAAGTTCTAGACGGTTTTAATTCATTCATTCCTGATTGCATGCATTCTACATTCTTGGATTCAAACCTGCGACTTGTCCCGACTTAGCGTCTTTAGCTTTCTGAACTTAGATAAATCAACAAATTTCGCCTCCTTTCATTACTTAGTTATTTCACATTACATTCATTATTTACTGCTTAGTTTAACCCGAACCTGAACTCTATAGTGTAGTTGACTTACTCCCTTGGGATTCGATAACCTTTTATGCTACAACTGCTTTGCTGTGCAAATGCAGTAGTAAATTAATTGGGTAAAACCTGAGCCCTATCAATCACAACCAATAAATATTCCTAACCTTTTTTGTGGTCCCATATTTGAGCGTTATGGTGGTGCTACTGGCACATATACTGCACAACCAAATATTCTTAAATGGAAAACATTTGGTTCTCGAGTAAATGCTAATTGTAACGGAGATAACTTATGATATGCAATTGGCCATATCTAAATGAGTGTTTCTGCATGCAAAATGGTATGTCCCCATA